GTTAGATGGGGCTCTGGGGAGATCATTCATTCCTGGCCCCAGACAATGTCAGCGTTGCCTCCGTCGACACCCTGCAGAGTTTCAGTGGCTCACAGCAGTCACGTGGCAAGTGAACTGGGACCGGGACCCACATTCTGACCCGTGGTTCAGTGCTCTTGCTACTGTACTGGAGGTCTGCAACCCAGGCCGCAGGTCAGCGTCGCCTGGGGAACTTCTAGAAGTAACGGCGCCTGGAACTGTCGCCAAGAGATTTAATTTTAATTGTCTGGGCCAGTGGCCGGCAAACTCATTCGTCAACAGAGCCAAATATCAACAGTACAACGATTGAAATTTCTTTTGAGAGCCAAATTTTTTAAACTTAAACTATATAGGTAGGTACACTGTTATTAACTTAATTAGGGTACTCCTAAGGCTTAGGAAGAGCCACACTCAAGGGGCCAAAGAGCCGCATGTGGCTCGAGAGCTGCAGTTTGCCGACCACGGGTCTGGGCAATGGGAGCTCAAACATCGGTATTTCTGGAAGCTCCCAGGGGAGTGCCCATTACCCCGGCTTCCTGAATTTTGGGGTCCATCTTCTTCATTGTCTGGTTGGGGCTGAAGGTCACCGATTGCACGGGAGAGCGGCCCCTGTTCTTCCACAACTTGCTAAGTCTCCATGCGTAACCCCTCTGCTCCCCAGTTCTTCGCACAGTGCCACAGGGAAGTAACTGAATTCATTCAGCAAGCATTATTTTTAAGTCCTTCCTAAAATATTTTGAGGCCCATTGACCTGACCAGGATTGCTATGCAGGGATGAATAATTGGATGTTAAGAAGTTTCTGCCTTAGCTGGTTTGGCTCAGTGGATAGAGCATCGGCCTGCAGACTGAAGGGGCCCGGGTTCGATTCAGGTCAAGGGCACATGCCTGGGTTGCGGGCTTGATCCCCAGTAGGGGGCCTGCAGGAGGCTCCCTCATCATTGATTCTCTCGACCCATGATTCTCTCTCATCATTGATGTTTCTCTCTCTCCCTCTCCCTTCCTCTCTGAAATCAGTACAAATATATTTAAAGAAAAAAGAAGTTTCTTTGAGCGCTGGCCTGTGTGGCTCAGTTGGTTGGGCATCATCGCGTGCACTGAAAGGTCCCGGGTTCGATTCCTGGTCAGGGCACATGCCCAGGTTGCGGGCTCGGTCCCTGCAGGAGGCAGCGACCGATGTTTTTCTCTCTCCCTTCCTCTCTTTCTCAAAATCAATTAAACATCTTTTAAAAAAAAAAAGAAGTTTCTTTGAGCTTCCTGGGGGAAAAGGTGCAATGTGAGTTTAAGTATTGCTATTATCTTGTACATTTTTTTAAAAGTATATTTTATTGATTTTTCACAGAGAGGAAGGGAGAGGGATAGAGAGTTAGAAACATCGATGAGAGAGAAACATCCATCAGCTGCCTCCTGCACACTCCCCACTGGGGATGTGCCCGCAACCAAGGTACATGCCCTTGACCGGAATCGAACCTGGGACCCTTGAGTCCTCAGGCTGACGCTCTATCCACTGAGCCAAACCGGTCAGGGCTATCTTGTACATTTTTAATTAAAAGATTTCAACTTGACTCATGAGCTAAAGGTGGCTGTAAGGATGGGAGATCACTCCTTTATTCATTGAGACTGTGGGTGGTGCGGGCATTTTTCAAAAGCAGGCGAGTCATACTCATCTTTCAGAGTTACTCCTGTATGAAAGTGGGTTGTCTCCCAGCGCAGACCCTTCACCAAAACAAAATAGATGCTTTACACACGTTTTATTTATAACCCCTTCCTTCTCATGTGCATTTTCTATCATCTAAAATTTCTTCCTTGGTGCCTCAGACGAGTTATCAGAAGCAGCAGCCTGTGCCCACGCGGGCAAGCATTTGCACGTTTCTCTCTCCCTTCCTCTCTCTCTCAAAATCAATTAAACATCTTTTAAAAAAAAAAAGAAGTTTCTTTGAGCTTCCTGGGGGAAAAGGTGCAATGTGAGTTTAAGTATTGCTATTATCTTGTACATTTTTTTAAAAGTATATTTTATTGATTTTTCACAGAGAGGAAGGGAGAGGGATAGAGAGTTAGAAACATCGATGAGAGAGAAACATCCATCAGCTGCCTCCTGCACACTCCCCACTGGGGATGTGCCCGCAACCAAGGTACATGCCCTTGACCGGAATCGAACCTGGGACCCTTGAGTCCTCAGGCTGACGCTCTATCCACTGAGCCAAACCGGTCAGGGCTATCTTGTACATTTTTAATTAAAAGATTTCAACTTGACTCATGAGCTAAAGGTGGCTGTAAGGATGGGAGATCACTCCTTTATTCATTGAGACTGTGGGTGGTGCGGGCATTTTTCAAAAGCAGGCGAGTCATACTCATCTTTCAGAGTTACTCCTGTATGAAAGTGGGTTGTCTCCCAGCGCAGACCCTTCACCAAAACAAAATAGATGCTTTACACACGTTTTATTTATAACCCCTTCCTTCTCATGTGCATTTTCTATCATCTGAAATTTCTTTCTTGGTGCCTCAGACGAGTTATCAGAAGCAGCAGCCCGTGCCCACGCGGGCAAGCATTTGCACGCCTCCCCCTAAGATATTCTCTCCTCGTTTTCCATCTTCTGAGATAAGGGGAAGCCAAGGGGTCCCCCTCCCTGTCTCCAGCATTTCTTCTTTGCGCTCCTTGTCACAGGAGTCACTGCCTCCCTCCCCTCCCTCCCTTGTGGCTTCGGTGTGCGTTTGGTTTTTGCTCTTAAAAAGATCTCTTTCGCTTCAATGTGGTCACGACTTGAAAGGGGAGGGGAAAAAACATATCCAGCGGAAATAAGTTCGGGTCAGAACGGGGCAGCTGCGGCAAGATAAGTGGCAGAAATGATCAGCGATCGCCGTGGTGAGGTGACAGCCGACTGCCCCAGACGAGGGCTCCCACGTCCGTGCCACCGGCCCCGCGTCCGTGCAGAGGGGAACTCCCAGCCAGGGCCGCCTTTACCAGCTGCCTCCTGCCAGCTCCCGTGCTCCTTTCTCTCCAGAGGCCATGGAGGCAGGGAGTTGGTCTAAGTCACAGAATTATTAGGCAGATGCAGAAAAACAGCATCGGCACCGGGAGAGGTCCCTGTCGGCCCATGTATAAAGGCCGCGAGGTGATGGTGGGCAGCCTCGAGCGCCAAACTGACAGTGACGGTTCCCCAGAAAGCAGCCATTCACAAGCTCGCACCGGAAACGACCCGGAGTTACTTGTAGGTTGGCTGCGTGTGAAAAACGCAGGCCTGCCCCACGGGCGCCTTTCCGAACCTCCTGCAGGTGGAACTCATCTTCTCTCAGGCCGGCCCGGAGCAGTTCGGGGCTGGTCAGTGCTCCCCAGTCAGACTGGGAGCGTCCTGTAGCTGATGAAGTGCTCCCCGAACCCCACGATGGGCCTTGGGGTGCCAGGCCTCGGGTGCAGAGCTGCCTCCCAGCCCACGCAGATGGGATTCTGTCCTTTTTATTTTTTTTTTATTTTTGAAATATATATATTTTTAAATTGATTTCAGAGAGGAAAGGAGAGGGAGAGAGAGGCAGAAACATCAACGATGAGAGAGAATCACTGATCGGCTGCCTCCTGCATGCCCCCCCCACCCCACTGGGGACCAAGCCCGAAACCCGGGCATGTGCCCTTGACCGGAATCGAAACCGGGACCCTTCAGTCCACAGGCCGACGCTCTATCCACTGAACCACACCAGCCCGGGCGAGATCCTGTTCTTTATTCGTGGCTGAGAAACCTACACCTCTTCGAGCACGGAGATATTTCTGGAGGAAGTCACTTTGATGGTCAAGGTGGCGTCCTTGGCTTTCGCCTTTTCTCCACAATTTCGGAAGCAGCAAACTTGGACTAGTGCACCTCTGTGAGTCAGGGGCTGTCTGAGTCTAAACGGAGAAATAAATAGCCCCCCGCTTACACGCACAGAGGCGTGGACCATCGCGGATATTGCACAGAGATGTGCCGATGAGAGAGGGAGAGGGGCGCCTGGGGCCCAGTGTGACTGAGCCGGGATTGGTGGGATGGTGTTTGGGGTGGAGGGGGCCGAGGGACAGGCCCCAACCTGGCAGCACAGGATGGAACGGCCTGCGTGGTCAGCTGGATGGAGAGAGAGTTGGAAGTGGATAGAGTTGATTCATTTTATTTCATCTGCTGATCGTTTCCCTGTTCCTCCCCCGCCCTCCTCCTGACCCCCAGCCTCCGTCTGTCCTCCACCCCTGCCCCCTCCACGCACATCCTGCTCTCACTCCCTTCGTGGGCCGTGTGCTCCGAGCCTCCGTGAGATTGGCAGCGGTGCTGGTGCCGTGCTGCTGTATTTATGATCTTCCCAGAACGGATAAGGTGGGTGGGAGACGCTCATAGCAGATGCAACCTGGGCTCAGCCCCCTGCTCTCCTGCAAAGCACTTTTCTTTTCTTTTAAAAAAATATATATTTCTTTATTGATTTCAGAGAGGAAGGGAGAAGGAGAGAGAGATAGAAACATCAATGATGAGAATCATTGATCGGCTGCCTCTTGCACCCCTACTGGGGATCGAGCCCACAACCCAGGCATGTGCCCTTGGCTGGAATCGAACCTGGGACCCTTCAGTCCGCGGCCTGATGCTCTATCCACTGAGCCAAGCCGGCCGGGGCTGAAAAGCACTTTTCTTACCAGACCCAGGCCCTGGCCCTGCCTGGGTGGGACCAGCCGGGTGGGCTGCACGGCGCTGTGTGCACAGGGTGGAACCGGGTGGGTAGTCGGTGGACTCCCCAACTCTGGTCTTTCTCCTTGTATTTACGAGATCGTCCATCAGCTCCACTGTCCGGAGCCCCGCCCACTCGGTCCCTCTTCCCAAGCCTCTGGGGCTCGTCCGTGGGACCTGAGCCTCGTGATCAATGAGGGCCGTTTGTCAAACCCGTGCGGGTCCCCAACCACCAGCTTCCTTGCGACGCCGCCGTGAACCGCAACCGTTTTACGTTCCAACGATAACGTGTCCTTTTCCCACGACCGCAGATTGCCGCATCCCTTTCATCGAAGATGCGGAGATCCAGAACAGGACCTACAGACACGGAGACAAGCTGAACATCACCTGCCACGAGGGATTCAAGATCCGGTACCCCGACCTGTACAACCTGGCTTCCTTATGTCGCGACGACGGGACGTGGGACAACCTGCCCATCTGTCAAGGTAGGCGACGGAAGCTGTCATTCCCGCCTGTTCTTCCCGCGGGCGGCGGTGTAGAGCGTGCGCACAGCTCTCTAACGCAACGGTTCTCAACCTGTGGGTCGTGACACCTTTGGCGGTCGAACGACCCTTTCACAGGGGTCGCCTAAGACCATCCTGCATATCAGATATTTACATGACGATTCATCTCAGTAGCAACATGACAGTCAGAAAGTAGCGACGAAAATAATGTTATGGTTGGGTCACCACATGAGGAACTGTATTTAAAGGGCCCAGAAGGTTGAGAACCACTGCTCAAACAGATGGGAAAGCAAAGACACCCAGGCCGCCCACAGGGCCCCGCTGTCTCTTCCCCTTGATCAGCAAGCTCTCTCCCATCATTTCCTGGCGTTTTCTCCAGCTCCGTACACCAGGTTCTTGTTTGTTTGTTTGTTATTGTGGTTTTTAAATATATTTTTATTGATTTCAAAGAAGAAGAAGAGAGAGAGAAATATCAATGATGAGAGAGAATCACTGATCGGCTGCCTCTTGCATGCCCCCTATGGGGGATGGAGCCTGCAACCATAACCTGCCCATCTGTCAAGGTAGGCGACGGAAGCTGTCATTCCCGCCTGTTCTTCCCGCGGGCGGCGGTGTAGAGCGTGCGCACAGCTCTCTAACGCAACGGTTCTCAACCTGTGGGTCGTGACACCTTTGGCGGTCGAACGACCCTTTCACAGGGGTCGCCTAAGACCATCCTGCATATCAGATATTTACATGACGATTCATCT